AAAAATGATAGGAAACCAGAGGAATGATGTGGGACAGGCCAATGGAAACTGCCCTTGGTTCTTCATTCTGGGTGAATGAATGAAGAGAACCTCAGAACTGATGATAAGTTAAGGTGGCATCAGTGAGGGGTAAGGGAGTTTGGGTGAGTCATACAAAGACAAATGAAGAACAGACTCATTGGTTCTGAAGAGGGAAAAGATGAACTCAGAATTGTTTAAGGAACAAAGTTTGTATGGGTTGGAATGCTTTCTGCCATGAGGTTCAATGCTCTGGAAATTCAAATACCAGCCATTTAGGGCATGCCCAGGAAAGCTAATAGTCATAGTGACAGTTTATATTGTCAGAAATGCAATTTGATCCTGATTTTGTAATGTCGTTTTAGTTCTTGTGACCTAAAATACACAGAAGGAGTACAGTCCCTCAACTGGACTAAAATTATGAAGACCATTGTTGATGACCCCGAGGGCTTCTTTGAACAAGGTGGCTGGTCTTTCCTGGAACCTGAGGGTGAGGTGCGTGAGTGTGGGGTTTCTTTTTTTTTTATTTTGGTATGCAGTATTGCCTAATGTCATTTAGGCACTTAAGAGAATGACATCTATGAGTAGCACATAAAGGACCTAACCAGAGACAAGCTAAAAGCACAACTTGGTATTATTGCTTCTTTTGCAGGAAAATGATACATTTATTAGGTGTTGGTAGTCACTGCCCACATTTCTTTCAATTTATAAAACTATTCCTCACAGAGTTTCTTAGTGTTTGGAGGAGATGGGATTGAGGCTTATTACAAAAAGTCCTTTAAAGCTGGGCGATGGTGGCGCATGCCTTTAGTCCCAGCACTCAGGAGGCAGACGCAGGAGGATCTCTGTGAGTTCAAGACCAGCCTGGTCTACAAGAGCTAGTTCCAGGACAGCCTCCAAAGCCACAGAGAAACCCTGTCTGGGGGGGGGGGGGTACTTTAGAAAATAGTCCTCTGGGGCTGGAGAGATGGCTCAGAGGTTAAGAGCACTGACTGCTCTTCCAAAGGTCATAAATTCAGTGCCCAGCAACCACATGGTGTCTCACAACCATCCGTTATGAGATCTGGTGCCCTCTTCTGGTGTGAAGATATACATGGAAGCAGAATGTTGTATACATAATAAATAAATAAAAATCTTAAAAAAAAAAAAAATAGTCCTCTGGAGGCTGAAGAGGTAACTCAGCAGTTAAGAGCACTGTCTTCTCCTTCAGAGGACCTAAGTTCAGTTCCTAGCACCCACATGGCAGCCCCCAACCATTCAACTCCATTCCAGAGGATTTGAAGCCCTCCTCTGTCTCCCACAGAATTGCCACACCGGGTTCATAGACATACATGTAGGCAAATACCTGTACACATAAAATTTTTAAAACATTAATCTTCAATAATAAATAATAGTCACCAAGTGTGATAACACACTCCTTTAATTTCTGCACTCAGAAGGCAAAGGCAAGCAGATCTCTGTGAGTTCGAGACCAGTCTAATATATATAGCGAGTGCCAGGTGAGAACTGCACAGTGAGACCTTGTCTCAAAAAAATTTTTTTTAATTAAAAACGTGTTTTAAATAGAGTTCCTGCCTTGCCATAGTCATTAATACAAAGTGTGTTTTGTCATTAATTCCCACAGACAAAAACAGATGAAATGACTGTTGAGAATCTAATAAGTGTACCTTAATGAATAATTTTAAGACAATTCCTTTATCTCTTGGTCATTTGGCTTTCTTATTTTTGAGTTTTATATATGAAATGATAGTATATTGAGTACATTGAATTAATTTGTTAGGTGAATATGAGCCAATGAGTAAAAGGGTCTTCTGCTTTCTGTACTTCACCAGGGAAGTGATGCCGAGGATGGAGACTCTGAGTCTGAGATCGAAGATGAGACTTTTAATCCTTCTGAGGATGACTATGAAGAGGAAGAAGAGGACAGTGATGAAGATTATTCATCAGAAGCAGAAGAATCAGGTTAGAGAGGATATTTGTTGGGCTACAAAAATGGCTCAGTGTTTGTAACAGCACCGTTATTACAGACCCTGAGCTCAGATCCCCAGAATCTATGTAAAAAGCCAGACAAGCTCTCTTGTAATAGCACTAGGGAATGACAGAGTTGGGGGGATGGAGGGGATGGACAGAGACAAGAGGGATTTAAGGATGTATAGGCCACCAGCCAAAAACCCCAGGCGCTCCAAACTTACTGAGAGCCCCTGTTGGAAGGAAGTACGGTAAACAACATCCTCCTTGGCTGCACGTGCACAGGCCAGCATACCCACACATCACAAATTTTAAAGGAGAAAACACCATGGCTTCCTCATCATTCCTAGAGATTGCTTTTAAAGGGAAAATGTTTTACATTCTGCTGTATTTCTGCATGATCAATGTACTATCAATATTGTTGCAGACTATTCCAAGGAGTCTCTGGGCAGTGAAGAAGAGAGCGGGAAGGACTGGGATGAGCTAGAAGAAGAAGCTCGAAAAGGTTTTTAAAATTTGTTGTTTTGGGTCACTTATTTAGTCATTTAATTTATGTGCAATTTTCACACTATTCTTTGTTTTGAAGTGTTAATGTTAAGAGCAAATTAGACTTGGAAAAGAATACTATAAAGTTGTTTGGGCAGGAGATTAGGGAGATGGCTCAGTTAAAGTGATTGCCATTCAAGCTTAAGAACCTGAGTTTGGCTGGGCAGTGGTGGCACATGCCTTTAATCCCAGGAGGCCGAGGTGTGAGTTCAAGGCCAGCCTGGTCTACAGATCGAGTTCCAGGATAGGCTCCAAAACTACACAAAGAAACCCAAAATCAAAATTTAAAAAGGGGTGGGGTTCCTGAGTTTCGCTCCCTATAAGGCCCTTACATAAAAACTGGTCACAGCAGTGTATGCTGGTAATCCCAGTGCTGGGGTGGCAAGGATGTGAGGGTCCTTGGGGATTATTGGCTGGCCCAACTATCCCATTAGCAGACTCCAAGTTCAGTCCTGGACCCTGTCTCATAAAATGGAAAGCAGTTGGGGAAGACAGCTAATTTCAGCCTCTGCCCTAGGTGCTCCCCAAAACACACAGACACAGAAAATACATATAGATGAAAACAAAATCTAAGCCACAGGTAGAACTTGACAATAGGAGAGGTAAGATCTATAATGAGGGTCCAGGTGAGGTTGATTCCATCAAGTTTTTTCAGTGTGCACAGAAGTGTGATTCCTCATAGTGAGAGAGTTACAATTAGGAATATTGTCTAGTTTGGTGTTGGTGTCATCAAAGTCAAGCCCCAAATAGAAGTTGTTAAAAATTAAAATGAATATGTTTGCTGCTGTGTCCTAGCATTGTGGTAAGTGCTTTGGGCAGGTACCCTTTTAATTCTCCTTAAAAAAGCTCAGGCCCCAAAAGCTTAAGCGGTTGTCTAGTAACTAGTAACTGACTAAATAACTAGTAACTGACTAAATGAACATTAACATTCAAGTTGATGTACTGGCTCCTGTTATTTGCTAATAGTAGGAATTTTAAGCTAATGAATCACTCTGCCTTCTGCTTAGCGGACCGTGAAAGCCGTTACGAGGAAGAAGAAGAACAGAGTCGAAGTATGAGCCGGAAGAGGAAGGCATCTGTACATAGTTCAGGCCGTGGCTCAAACCGTGGTTCCAGACACAGCTCTGCACCCCCCAAGAAAAAGAGAAAGTAATATGAACCGTGGTCCTCTGCTCTAATCTCTCTGCAGACAACTCCTAAAAATCCGACATGACATAGAAACTGTTTTTCCTTTTGGTTTTGTTGAAGTTTTGCCGTTTGTGTTTATGGGTTTGGGGGCCATTTGTGCGGACCAAGCTACTCGGGGAATTCCAGGCCCACCAGGACATGTGCCAGTGGCCCCGTTTCAGATGGCTGGCAAGGGAGGTGATGTTGAAGGGCAGGAGGCCCCTCCCACTCGATACCGTTTGTTTTCATCTGACAACCTATCTTTGGTATTTCAAAGCTGAATTACCAAGACAGTGGTAAACTGACCATTAGCTATTTCTACTATAATTCTTTTTTCTTTGCATTTTTATTTTTCATGGCTTTTTGAGACAGTCTCTGTAAACCAGGCTGGCCTCAAACTTGTAATCCTCTTGCTCTGCCTCCCAAGTGCTGGGATTACAGGCCTGAGCCACCACACTTAGCTGGAGCATGTTTCTGGCCCCACAGGTTCAGCCCTCCTTCCGTCCCTTTAAGTTCCAGATCTGAAGTTCTCAAGAAAGGTTCTTGGGCTCTGCGATGATTGTGATATACACAGCTGAGCTAAAGGCAGGGTGGGCTCATGGCTGGTCTTAATTTTCCTGGTTTCTTGCCTCATGCACATTTTGAGGCATTTCTGCTGCCTTGGAAGACATAAGCACTGGCACTCCATGGCTAGGTTTCTTCTCAAGTCCATATGTGGTACAATGCCAGAAGGCAAAATTACCACTGTCTCCTCTGATACATCGAAGGAAGAAAGGTCATGCCTCATACACTGCAGATGACATCTAGAGGGAGGCTCAAGGGAATCAATACACATCTGAAAGAGTAAGTCATGTCTTGACAAGAAGAGAAGCGGGAAGGAGGCCACACCCACAAGGCTGGACTCTGCTTCTCCTGCCTTTCCTTTCTCTGCAGCATCTTGTGTTGGTCACTTCTGATGATCAGCTTTGAAGAACTGGGGGACTTTATCTTGCCGTCCTCCCTGCAGCTTCTCTACATCCACCTGTCCCACTTTGCCTCCTCTGCTGTGACTTTAAGAGAAGGGGCTTCTCAGATTTTATGTTTGTTTTGTTTTCTCTCCTTAGCAGTAGGACTTGATATTTTGAATTTTGGAAGAACTAAAAGATAAATAAACTGGGATTTTTTTTTTTGTTTTTTGTTTTGTAAATTGTTTTTTATGAGCATTTCTTTGCAGTTCCTGAAATCAAATTTGCCTACTACCAAATCTGCCTAGTACCACAAAAATTGTAAGCCTTGCCTTTAGTTTGAGAAAGAGAGCAGATAGCACAGGAGACCAGATTTATGGCATAGCATGTTACTTTATAAGAGACTCTCACTGTGGTTCTCTCAAATCTTAGAGTGGAGTAGTTCTTTCATGAAAACAAATCTTCAGTCATCTCCTTGTAAATGCTATGGAGGGCAGCAGCTGCTCGAAGGGAAACCTTCAGCCTTCCAATTTGGATGGCCCGGTCTCCAGGGCTGACAACTGTGGAGAAGGATAAAGCCATTAGGCAGCAGCAGTGTTCTGTTTACACACTTTTGTTTTCTTTATATGTTTGAGACAGGGTCTCACTCTGGCCCTGGCTGGCCCATAACTTACTGTATAGACCAGGCTGGCCTCAAACTGAGTCTGCCTTTGCCTCCTGAGTTCTGGGATTAAAGGCCTATACCATCCATCACACCCATCCAATTATACACTTTTAATACCTGAAATTTGTCACGTTGGAGTTATTGCCTCATTCATAAGAAAATGAAACCATTATAGTGTAGTTTACATACATGAGGAAAAGATTAAGGTGCTTTGGAAACAAAAGGAGCACAGAAGCTAGAACAGAGAAGAAAGGGTTTTTAGGGCTGGCCAGACAGCTCAGTGGGCGAAGACAAACCTGACAAGCTGAGTTCAATCCTCAGAAACTACATAGTAGAAGGCAGGAAACTGACTCCTACAGGTTGTCCCCTGACATTTACACAAGTGTACACATAGATAATGAAGGTTAAAAAAAAAAATTAGACCAACTTTTTCCTCCACTTCTGGGGATTGAGTCTAGACAAGCATACACATGATCCAGAATGAAACATAGCTGTTGGGGAAAGACTTAAAAGCATTTGTCCATCAACCTCACAGTTAAGTCAACAGGTTAACAAAAGCTACACATAAGTAGATTATTTTCTTTATGAATAAATGGAACTAAGAAGTAGAAATTTTATTACTCACTCTCTAGTTCTTGCTCTAGGATATCTCTTCCAGATTCAAGTATCTGCCACAGTTCAAGGAACGCATAGCCTACATCTTGACATTCTTTCTTTTCTTCATCCAGAGGTTCACTAACCACTGTAAACTTTAAACTGAAAACAAACAAAAAAGGAATCCATTTAAAATTTAATGAACATTTGCTGAGCTGTGGTGGCGCACCCCTTTAATCCCAGCACTCTGGCTGTAAAGGCAGGCAGATCTCTGTGAGTTCCAGAACAGCCAGGGCTACACAGAGAAACACTGTGTAATAATCATGGAGTTTGGAGAGGTGGCTGAGGGAATAAGACAGAGCATTGGTTACTCTTCAGAGCATCCCGGTTTGACTCTCAGCATCACCTGGTAGCTCACAATCATCTATCAATCCAGTCCCAGAGAATCTGGCAGCCTCTGTGGGCAATCCACATGGTACACAGGCATGGAAGCTAAACATTCATAGACATAAAAGAAAAATGGAAAAGTAACCATAAATAGTGTTTTCCCTGAATCTGAATCCCATCCCCTGCCTCCCTCCATTTTCTAAGGAGCCAAAAGTCAGGAGTCAGTTTTGGGAAGGGTTCAACACCCAAAGAAGTCCGGACAACTTTGGGAGTTAGTTCTCTGCTTCCCCAAGTGTAGTCTGGGGATTGAACTCAAGTGTCAGATTTGGAAGCAAGCACTTACCCATTAATCTGCCTCAGTCTTGAGACTATCTCATGGAGCCTAGGCTCCACTATCTCAAGGAGCACTATGTAGTGCAACTCACTACATAGCTATCTAAGTAGACTGGCTTCCGTCTCCACCTCCCAAGTGTTATGATTGCAAGTATATGGCACCTACACTGCTGGCTCTTTGAAAAGCAAATGTTACTAATTGTGATGAGACAGCAGTGTGAAAGAGTATACTGACTTCGGTCCTTGGGTCTACAGAAAGCCTGGTTACTGGCATTGCTATGGACTAGAGACAAGCTCAAGTGCTGTGGATAATTTCTGTCACTCTTAAAAGAGCATTCAGCCAACACTGCAAAGACCAGAGAGCTCAAAAGTAGGAGCTGGGATTCAAAACCAGCTTTGACAAACAAGGTGCTGTCTGCTGTGCCATACTGTTAAAAACACCAAAGGCAAAGTCAACTGAAACCTAACAGGAAGTAGAAGAGGATGGCCTCTGGAAGAACATAAAGGAAAGTAATATTTCTAGAAGCCAGAAGAAGACGAAATGCAGATAGAATGCCTATACACATAAGTAAAAGTTTTATAAAAATTCTGTGTTTAGCTGTGCATGGGCTTTAGAACCCCTGGAATAGAGTGTTAGATGGTTGTGAGCTGTTGTGTTGAAAATGGCACAGTGCTCTTAACTGCTGAGCCATCACTCCAGCCCCACACATACAATTTTAAAGTATCTTTTAAAATACAAGTATACCTGTGCCCTTTGCCTTACAGAACCTTCTCAGTTTCAGGAGGTCCCATTTATTAATTGTCCATCTCGGTGTCTGCTACTGGTGTTATGTTCAGGAAATGGTCTCCTGTACCAGTTTGTTTGAGGGTACCTCCTACTTTTTTTTCCTCCGATTTATTTATTATTTATTTATTTACTTATTTATTTATCCTGGCAGGCCAGAAGAGGGCACCAGATCTCATTATAGATGGTTGTGAACCACCATGTGGTTGCTGGGAATTGAACTCAAGACCTTTGGGAGAACAGTCAGTGCTCTTAACCCCTGAGCCATCTCTCCAGCCCCACCACCACCTTCTCTTCTAAGAGATTCAGTGTGGCTGAATTTATGTTGAGGTCTTTCATACATTTGAATTAAGTTTGTGCATGATGATAGATATGGATCTGTGTACAATCTTCTACATGTCAGCATCCAGTTATGCCAGCACCATTTGTTGAAGATACTTTCTTTTTCCCATTGTGTAATTTTATGCTTCTTTGTCAAAAGTCAGCTGTTCATAGGTGTGTGGATTAATATTAGGGTCTTCAATTTGATTCCATTGGTCACCTGTCTGTTTTTGTGCCAATACCAAGCTGTTTTCATTACAACAGCTCAATAGTAGAGCTTGAAGTCAGGGATGGTGATGCCTCTAGAAGTTCCTTTATTGTACAGGGTTGTTTTGGCTATCCTGGGTCTTTTGTTTCTCCATATAAAGTTGAGAATTGTTCTTTCAAGGTCTGTGAAGAATTGTGCTGGGATTTTGATGGGGGTTGCATTGAATCTATAGATTGCTTTTGGTAAGATTGCCATTTTTACTATGTTGATTCTACCTATCCTGAGAAGCTTCTGTAAGGCAAAGGACACAGTCAACAAGATAAAACAGAGCCCACAGAATAGAGAAAGATCTTCACCAACCCCACATCTGACAGAGGGTTGACTCCAAAACACAAAATAATCCAATTAAAAAATGGGGAACAGATCTAAATAGAGAATTCTCAATAGAGGAATCTAAAATGGCTGAAAGACACATAAGAAAGTGCTCAACATCCTTAGCCATCAGGGAAATGCAAATCAAAACAATTCTGAGATACCATCTTGCATCTGTCAGAATGGCTAAAATCAAAAACACCAACGACAGTTTATGCTGGAGAGAATGTAGAGAAAGGGGAACATTCCTGGTAGGAATGCAAACTTGTACAGCCACTTTGAAAATCTGTATGATGGTTTTCCAGGAAAATGGGAATCAGTCTACCTCAAGATCCAGCAATTCCACTCTTAGGCATATACCCAAAGGGTGCACATTCATACAACAAGGACAGATGTTCAGCTATGTTCATAACAGCATTATTTGTAATAGCCAGAACCTGGAAGCAACCTAGATGCCCTTCAACAGAAGAATGGATGAAAAAATACACATTTACACAATGGAGTACTACTTAGTGGAAGAAAACAATGAAATCATGAAATTCGAAGGCAAATTAATGGAACTAGAAGAAACCATCCTGAGTAAGGTAACCCAGACACAGAAAGAAAAACATGGTATGTACTCACTCATATATGGATATTAGACATAGAGCAAAGGATAACCAGCCTACAGTCTACACCAGAAAAGCTAGGAAACAAGAAGGACCCTAAGAGAAACAAACATAGACACACAACCCCCCCCCCAGGAGGAAAAAGGGACAAGAGCTGAGTAAATTGGGAGCATGGGGGAAGGGGGGAGGAAGGTAGGAGAAGGAAAGAGGGGAGAAGAACATGAGGGAATCGGAAGGTCAAGTTGGGGAAAGAACAGAGGAGAGCAAGGAAAGAGACACCTTAAGAAAGGGAGCTGTTACGGGCTTAACGAGAAATCTGGCACTAAGGAAATCTACAAGGGGATCTACAAGGATGACCCCCAACTATGAATGCCCTTCTATAATGATATTGATGACTACCTTAAATGCTATCCTAGAGCCTTCATCCAATAGCTGTTGGAAGCAGAAGCAGATACCCACAGCTAAACACTGAGCCAAACTCCTGGAATCCAGTTGTAGAGAGGGAGGAATGATGAGCAAAGGGATCAAGACCATGCTGGGGAAACCCACAGAAACAGCTGACCTGAGCAAGTGGGAGCTCAGGGATCCCAGACTGACATCTGGGGAACCAGCAGAAGACTGAACCAGGCCCCCTGAATGTGGATGTCAGTTGGGGTCCTGGGCAGTCTATGGGGCCCCTGGCAGTGGAACTAGTATTTATCCCTAGTGCATAAATGGGCTTTGGGAGCCCATTCCCTATGGAGGGATACTCTCTCAGCCTAGATACACTGGGGAGGGCCTAGGACCTGCCCCAAATGATGTGACAGACATTGAAGATCCTCCATGAGAGGCCTCACCCTCCCTGAGGAATGGATGGGGATTTCGTGGGGGACATGGGAGGATGGGAGGGAGAGGGAACTGGGATTGGTATGTAAAATAAGATTGTTTTTAATTTAAATAAAAATTAATGTAAAAAACACAAGTATAAGCCTGGCAGTGGTGGTTCACGCCTTTAATCCCAGCATTCGAGAGTAAGAGGCAAGCTGATCTCTGTGAGCTCAAGAGCAGCCTGGTCTACAAATCGAGTTACAGGACAGCTAGGCCTGATGCAGAGAAACCCTGTCTTGGAAAAAAAAATACAAAAAGTGTAAAATGAAGCCGGGCGTTGGTGGTAATCCCAGCACTCGGGAGGCAGAGGCAGGCAGATCTCTGAGTTCGAGGCCAGCCTGGTCTCCAGAGCGAGTGCCAGGATAGGCTCCAAAGCTACACAGAGAAACCCTGTCTCAAAAAAACAAAACAAAACAAAACAAAAAGTGTAAGATGGGTATTAGAATGACACAGTATTGATGTGCCAGCGGTATTTCTGTATATGTGAGACGTTAGTTAAATGACTTAAGAATATCCAGATGTTCTGTCTGCCCCATGTAGGATGCTATCAAAACAGTGTCACGATTCATATCATGGTTGTCACGCACATACAAGTCCTTGCCACAAGTGAAATACGAACTAACCCTAAAATAACTGAATGGGCGCTCAGATTCATGAAGTTGACTCCAGTAGAAGGGAGATTCATCAAGACAAAATTAAGTTATTAAAATATTATCATAAGCACAAAACTCAAACTTTCTGACTCCTGTCTGAATATCTGCACTGTCCCTGTGAAATGGCTTACCGTCCCTCCTCAGGATCTTGAGCATGCAGCATGGCAAACAGAAACTGCCTTCTGCCTTGTTGTTCCACTGGGTCCAGGTCTATCACTGTTTGAAAGGAAAAGAAAAGCAAAGAATACAGGGATAAGGCTGTAGCTCTATGGTAGTACAGTGTTTGCCTCGTATACAAGAGGTCCTAGATTCAATCCTCAGTATTGGGGA